TCTGGTTCGGGATGGAGGAAACAGGACGGAAAAAGAGTCGAAAAAGTATAAAAAAGATTCACAGCGGCGGGTCGGCCGTCAGTACTGGCGGCGTCGGATCCGTACAACAACAATGACAATTGGGAAACAACGAATCGGCACCAAGCCACAGCGATTTTAGGTATCCCTCGCGTTTTGCTCATCGATTCTCCCTCTTGCTCTCGTGTTCTGTTTCTTCTCCTTATCGGATCTCTGACTCTGCTTCTGTTTTTGTGAGCGTTGTATTGTTGTTGTGTGAACTGTGTGTTTGTTGAGAGGTAGCGGTTGGAATGTGTCGTGCGCGTACGAGTGAGATTGAATTAGATGGAGTTTTTTTTTGCGGGTTATGTATTGTGAAGGTTGCAGTGATGTGGATATTTGTGAAATGGATATGGAAATTGTGGGTGGATTGTGTGCCTGTGGAGATTCTTGTGGATTTGAACAGAATTTCATATGCTTATTATTGGCTTGTTTTTTTTTGCAGAGGTTTAGAGAGATTTGAGCAAAGCTTTGGGGGGAGTTTTTGTATGAAAGTTGGTGGAGGAAAGAGTAACGGTGAGGATGATGTCAAAGCTTTAAGGTGATTTTATTTTTTACCCGATTCTAAACTTCTGGTTTATTCGTAAACACAAGTAATTTGATTTGGACTCAATTCTATCCTTTTTACTTTTGTAGCAGGGATTACATATGCAACATCAACAAGTTTTGGTAACGAATACATACAAAGATGTCGGTTTTATGCAAAAGGATGGAATGAGCATTACCTGTCAAAGTCTCTCCGCCAAGTTCTCCCTTTATGCCTCTTCCTCACTGTCTTTCCTATCTGTTTCGGTTATGAGTCCTTGGAGGTGCAACACCTGCTTAGCTAAACTTCCAGTTTTACGTGCATACTGTGAACTGTTTTGATTTTCTAAGGCGGAAGATCGTGGAGGTATGAAAATATATTTTTTGTTCTTTTCTTGTATGTATTTTCTACTGTATTCTTGAATGAGTGATCTATTGTTTTTTTTTTGTAAAGGGGTGCAATTGATTTTGCAGTGAGAGGTGGGTGGAAGGAAATGAGTTGAAGAAAAAAAATGAAAAGTGAAGGATCTACCCTGTAAAAAAAAATCAGATCATAATATATGGGAGTTAGAAGTTTTTGTGAAAAACCTCCAAGGAATTATTACCGTTGTTCTTTTTGATTGAGATTCAAGTTTATTCTAAAGATAGAGGAAGTACACTGACTTTTTGCTTTATTCTTTTTTTTTGAAAAAAAAATGCCATTCTCATGTAAGTTTCTTGGATGTATTATGGTGCAGATTTGCAGTATGACAATAGCAGGTTTGTAGGAAGACTTGGCAAGAGTTGAAGCAAAATGGATAGGACAAAAAAATTAACAGCAAGAAAAGAAAAAAAATTAACCAAAAAGAGATTGTTAGTAACAACTAAACTAAAAGTACAAAAAAGAATTAAAATAAGAGACACAAACAAAAAGTATTTAGTAATAATAATAATTCAATTTAAGAAATTCAATTAATATTAGAACTAAAAAAAAAGGAAATAAAATTATAATGACTAAAGAAATAAAAAAAATGTAAATAAAAGAAAATGGTATTAACTATATGTTTTTTCTTTGAGATTTTCTGGATGTAAAATACAACTAAAATAAAGATGATGCTAATCACATGTTTTTTTTTATAGATTTTTTCAAATAAAGTGATACAAACATATAAATTTAAATAGAATTAATAAGATCATATTTTTTATATCTTGAATTATAAATAAATAAATAAAAATAATAACACATGTTAAGTGCGTCTTTTGCAATTTTTTTATGGAAAAGAAATCATGAATAGAACACAGTCGAACCCAAATTTCACCAAATTCACAAAACAACTTTTAACGTCAACAATTTTTCATGGCTTTTTAATGAATAATTTTCCCTTGATTTATAAAGAAAAGTTGTGGATGATGTCGAGGAAAATCATGCGCAAAAACAACCTCTCAAAAAATGTCGAAATTCGAAGAAGTTATGAATTTTTGAAATCTGACCCGAGAAGTGGCAAAAATAGGTCGAATCGCTTGTGAATGCTTGCTATGTAATAATGCAGATGGGGGGTGGGATCTTAGGTCAAAAATTGGGGTACAACACCTGCCCCTATTTAAGTTTCTTCTATCCGGAGATATGAAGATTAAAATCTTCGTCTCGACGAGATTGAAGGTACTTAAATACATAATACGCAATTTTTGCCCTAAGATACCGCCATTATGTTCGATATGAATGTAGTGATTGAATTCACAGAGAACGATATTGCATGAAACCAGACCATGTTGGAGAAATCAAACACCAACAAAACACAGAGACATGGATTATACACTACTGGGGAAACGAGCCATCGACTTCAAACGACAGACTCCTGACAGCGAATAAAATTGAGGGGTTACGACCTTTGACCCTAACAAAGGAGGCGTCTTGCATAGGCCGTAAAAAGATTATTGACCCAAAACAGTGAGTTTGCAACTCAAGGTTAATGATAGGAAGAGAGTATCAAATTGCTGATAACGGGTCACCGACTTCCGAAGGTAAAGATTCATAACAGGCTTTCTCTGCGAGATTTCCGGAGATACACCCATTAATGCCGAAGTAAGGTTGTAGATACGAAGGTTGTTCAAATAAAGAAAACTGCCATCTGTCGTCCGAAGAAAATACCGATAACATACAAACTGCTCAAATAAAGAAGCTGCCGCTTGCTGTCGTCCAAAGAAAATACCAATAACATACAAGCCGCTCAAATAAAGAAGCTGCCGCTTGCTGTCGTCCAAAGAAAATACCAATAACATACAAGCTGCTCAAATAAAGAAGCTGCCGCTTGCTGTCATCCAAAGAAAATACCAATAACATACAAGCTGCTCAAATAAAGAAGCTGCCGCTTGCTGTATTCTAGAAAAGTAGTAACGTATTGGTAACTCATGAAGAGTTTGCTGTTTGTCGCTTTCAGAAAAAATAAAAATGACGCACTAGTAGCTCATGAAGAACTGCTGCTCGGCGCTTTCAACAAGAAGTAAATAACGCACTAGTAGCTCATGAAGAACTGCTGCTCGGCGTTTTCAACAAGATAAAATGACGCACTAGTAGCTCATGAAGAACTGCTGGCGTTTTCCAACGGAATAAAAATGACGCACTAGTAGCTCATGAAGAACTGCTGCTCGGCGTTTCCCAAAAAGGATAAAAGACGCACTAGTAGCTCGTGAAGAACTGCTGGCGTTTTCACAAAGTCATAACTGACGCACTAGTAGCTCATGAAGAACTGCTGCTCGGCGCTTTCGAAAAAGTAATGTACAAGTTGCTCGTGAAGAGCTACCGCTTGTCGTTTTCCAACATAATTCAGAAGGAAACTGCGATGATATTGGCAGAGAATAAAATCTTCATCAAAGAGAACCCTGAATCAATCCTTCCCGAGGAGATCATATACTTAAATGTGCAAAATAAATGCACCAGTCGTCTTGGTCGCAAACTCACTGGGGAAAATCAAAGAGTATAGCCTATGCAAGAGGCAGCCACTTTATCTAGGAATAACCAGAGAGAAAACAGTCAAACAAGACTCCTCCCAATGAGAAAGTAAATCGATTGGGGAAATTATCCTATCCAGAAATGGACAAGGTAAGCTAAATCAAAAATCATCCACGAGGATTAGCTCAATTGGGGAATTAGAAAGGAGGCACATTTTATGCACACAATGGAGCAGGTACTTTTTCAGTAACTCTTTCTGAGGAACATAAGAAGAAAGAAATGGATGCCCTCTCCGGCTGTTCATAGTCACGAATCACCACTGGCTTTCATTCGTACCTGATCCTCCTCCCCAATCACATATACTTCTCTACTTTTGCTTGCAGTGATAATATCACATGCGGAAGCGCGCGTACGCTAGAAAGACGTATAAGCAAGCCTTTCTTTATGAGTATGAGTCAACCAAGCCGCTTCAAAGAACAAAGGTCTCTGGAATGCCGGCTGAGGTCACTTTGCAGGTAAAAAAGAAGAAAGAGGGTGGTGATCGGATTTGACTGGAGGCAGATTCCGGATAGCAGCTTCCGGGAAAAATGACATTCCATCTTAAACAGAGCTCTATCTAAGCTCTAATACACACGACTGAACCCTGGAGACTTTTGCCTCGCCATGTAAACTGAGAGCCTAGGTACCCAAGATCAATGATTTTGCTTTCAATCTTTAAACTTCCCACATCTGAAGAACTTGCTTCCAGAGCCAGGCTTTCAGACTCTCCATAGGTTTCGCATAGAGAGCAATCAATAAGCACTCGCTCTTCTTCTCCTGAACTACCTTCATATGAACGAACTGAGAGTCATCCTGAAGGACATCCACTGATATATCTTTGCTCTTCCACAGGACAAAAATCCCACCTTGAGGTTCCAACCGATGCGATGACGGTTTTAACCACTTTCTCGGCCTTCTCACCACTGACCCAAGTTTAAAAAATAAAAGCACAACTCTCTCAGGTGAATTAAGTCCATTCTTACACCATGAAACCTCGGCGGAGATTCCAAACTCGAATCTTCCACACAATAAGGAAAAGACTATACCACCCATGTTGCAGTGGGGCTACCCATCATATGATGAGCAATCTGGCTGCATTTGTCTCATCTCTAAAAAAATGATATTGGTAGGACACCTTTGCGATGACCGCCAAAGCTATGCCATCTTTATTCCAACTTCCTCTGTGTTGTCAAGGATCTACACACGCATAATGTTATAGCTATAGGGTGCCGCCCGTAGCCAACCCCTATATGCTTGAGACCCTAATTTTCCTCTTATTTATTTGTGGCTTCTTCATAACAAAGAGCTTCCTTATGGCAACTAGGGGCTTTATAGGGGTCCTCTTGTTGTTTGAAAGGTAGGTTTTGTCAGAGATTAAATGGAAAGGAAGGGAAGAGGTAACTCACCAACCAACAGGAGGAGGATATGAAATAGAGCACCAACAACCGTTCTACTCGAGCGGAACTTCTAACTGAAGCTTCTCACGTTTTTCAGCAGGGTCTGGGCTACGGGGTCCTTTTCCAACCCCTCTCTTATGCGTTCGGGGATGGCCCCTTTGAGTTGGCTCATGTCTGCTATCTCTTCTAACTTGTTGGATGCCAACTCGGCCTTTCGACTTAGTGCGTCGGCAACTTGATTGGTCCTCCCGGGCTTGTACTCGAGGACCATGTCGAACCCCACCAGAAAGTCTTGCCACCGTGCCCGCTTGGGGTTGGGCTCTCTTCTGAGTAAGGAAAGAGCTCGTAGCCACGTTATCGGTCTTGATCACGAACCTTGAGCCCAGCGAATAAAACTACACTGCGCTCCAGCAATTCAATGATCTCTGTGACTTGGCTATCAAGGTCACTCGCCACGAGCGCTTGCTGCGAAAAGTCGGACTTGATGCAATGGTGGCGGAGATCAAGATCACTAAGCCAGTTGTTTTCCTTGCTCTACGCAAAGCCCCACCCAATAAGGCTGCCATGCTAAACAAGCCTGGTATGGAGCGGACTGCAGGCAAATTTGGCAATCGGCCACGTGACTTCACGTACGATGTCTCAAAGGCCGATGAGATCTATGATTGCTTGGAAAAAGTAGGGTTAGTTGGGTCCCCAGAGCATCAAGTCCAGTTAGACGCACTAAAGGGACAGAAACCCATATGCTAGTTTCATGCCAGTAATAGTCACGCCACAGCTGACTGCGTAGCCTTCCGCCGCGCAATACAGGACAAGATTTATGTTTCCCGATAAGGGAAAACGGATGTTGATTGACAAGCAACCATTTCCCAAGACCGCGTAGGCAGCACCGGTGTATATTCATGACCACTACTTTTATTTGTCGATATAGTCAGTGTGCCGCGAGTGCTTTCTCTCTTTTGTCCAACTTGACTTCTTTCTTCCACATAGGCCTCGCTTGCATGCCTTGTGGAAAACTAGACTTAAAAATGGTTTATATAAATAAAGAAGAGTCACGCTCTTGAAGCCCTAAGAAATAGGCAACATCGGTTCGAATCCGAATTGGGGTGGGGCTCTTTCTCCGGAATTTGAGAGTCACTTACCCAGAAAAGATGTTGCTAGGCAGGCGGTTATTATAATAGAGGTGCCTTCAAGTAGAAATGAAATTTAGCCGACACAGAAAAACTGAAGAAAAGCTAAAGGCTTTCTCCCTCCATATCATATGCATTACCTATAGCATTCGACCCCTTCCTCTTTGTAGGAATTAAGATCTTTCTACTCCTTTCGCCCTACGACTCCTCATGATGAAAGCTACTTCGCACCTTGAGTCTGCTTTCTATATTAAAAAATAGATCTCCCTTGAGCTTGGACAGTTGGGCAAGCCGAACCCTGTACAGTAGAAGTTTCAGCTATTATTGATCCAGTTGCCACCTCTTCACCATGTTTGGATGACACCGGTTCTTTCGAAGCAGATAAGGGCATTTATGGATCGTCTCACTTGCCTGCGAACATAGCGAAAAACTATTCAAATTGAGCTGACGGTAAAGTAAGCTACGTTAAATTGAGCCATGATCTGTTCAACTTCAACTTTATCCACACAATGGAGCATAATGCAATCATGATTGCGCTTGTATAGGATACCATTGCTTAGGAAGAACTTGGCCGAGAATCTCCTCAAGAACTTTTTGTCATTGACTGAAGCTCCTTCTGGATATTCTTGAGTCTCGAGATACCTTTTGACTTCATGAAACCAAGGTAGGTCCACTACTTCTTCGCTATTAATCCCGTGATAATGTGCTGGTTCATCCATCCGTTAAATGGTGATCTAGGGAGCCTCATTATCCCAGTTAAGTTTAAACATGGATGACATTGTAGCTAGAGCATCTGCTAGCTGATTTTCTTCTCGCGGGAAGTGCTCGAAGGTGGTCTGCTCGAAATGTGGTAGCAATTTCAAGACATGTTCTTTGTAAGGGATGAGGTTGGGATGTTTAGTGTCCCACTCTCCTTTGATCTGACTGATGACCAAAGCTGAGTCTCCAAACACAACCAAAGATTTGATTCCCAGGTCTATAGCAGCCTTGAGACCAAAGATGCAAGCTTCATACTCTGCCATGTTGTTGGTGCAGTTAAAGCAGAGTCGAGCAGTGAAAGGAGTATGGCATCCTTCTGGAGATATGAGCACAGAGCCGATACTGTTACCAAGTGCATTGGAGACACCATCAAAGAACAGGGTCCATCAGGATCCTGGTTCAGGTCTGTCATATGGTCTATTACCTTCACAGTTGTCCAAAGTCATGATGTCCTCGTCTGGGAATTCGAACTTCATAGATTGATAATCTTCAACAGCTTGATGGGCAAGATGATCAGCTAGCACACTCCCCTTTATAGCTTTTTGGGTTGTTTACTGTATGTCATACTCGGTTAGAATCATTTTCCATCTAGCTATCCTTCCAGACAAAGCAGGCTTCTCGAAGATGTATTTGATCGAATCCATATTAGAAATCAGCAAAGTGGTATGAGTCAACATATACTGTCTCAACCAGCGAGCAGCCCATACCAAAGCGCATCAAGTTTTCTCGAGCAGTGAATATCTGGTTTCACAGTCGGTAAACTTTTTGCTAAGGTAATAAATGGCATGCTCTTTTCGTCCAGACTCGTCATGCTGCCCCAGTACGCACCCCATTGAATTCTCCAAGACAGTCAGGTACATGATTAACGGTCTTCCTTCGACGGGAGGCATCAAGACAGGAGGTTCTTGCAAATACTCCTTGATTGTGTCAAAGGCAATCTAGCATTCGTCGTTCCAATTAACCACCTGATCTTTCTTCAACAACTTGAAGATTGGCTCACAGGTAGATGTTAGGTGAGAGATGAACCTAGCAATGCAGTTTAGGCGTCCCAAGAAACCTCTTACTTCCTTCTCAGTGCGAGGAGCAGGCATTTCTTGTATAGCTTTGACTTTGGCAGGATCAACCTCGATGCCTTTGTTGCTGACTATGAAACCCAAGAGTTTACCGGATCAGACTCTGAAAGTGCACTTATTAGGGTTTAGCCTTAGCTTGTACTCCTTTAGTCGGACAAACAGCTTCTGCAGGTGATTAAGGTGTTCTTCCTCCGTTTGTGATTGGGCTATCATGTCGTCTACGTAGACTTCAATCTCATGATGTATCAAGTCATGAAACAAAGCTACCATGGCGCGCTGATAGGTTGCCCCGACATTCTTCAGTCCGAATGGCATCACTTTATAGCAGAACGTACACCATTGTGTCACAAAAGTAGTCTTCTCCATGTCTTCAGGTGCCATTTTGATCTGGTTGTAACCTGAAAATCCTTCCATGAAAGAAATACCTTGTGTTGAGCTGTGTTGTCAACCAAGATGTCGATGTGCGGTAGTGGAAAGTCATCTTTAGGGCTGGCCCTGTTTAAGTCTCTGTAATCCATGCACATTCGCACCTTGCCATCTTTCTTAGGCACAGGCACAATGTTAGCAACCCATTGAGGATAGGAAGTAACAGCTAGAAATCCAGAGTTGAACTGCTTCATAACTTCTGCTTTGATCTTTTTTGACATGTCAGGTCTCATGCGGCGGACCTTTTGCTTAACCGGTGGACAGTCTTCTCTTATGGGTAGACGGTGTACCACAATGTTTGTGTCCAGTCCTGGCATGTCTTTGTAAGACCAGGCAAAGATCTCAACATTGTCATGTAACAGCTGAATCAGGCGTTCCTTGACACTCGGCTCCAGGTTGGCACCCACTTTGATTTCTTTCTTATCCTCCTCAGTACCCAAGTTGATAGTATCCAACAGCTCCTCGTGAGGTAGAATAGCCCTTTCTTCCTGTTGCAGCAGTCTAGCCAATTCTCCTGGCACTTCACAATCTTCCTCACCTTCGTATTCAGCTTGGTAGACCAGATCTTCAGAGTCACTGAAGGCCATAGCAGAATTGTTACCCATGGAATCCGGAATGGAAGGGTACCTACATTTCTGAGTGTGGGTGTGTGTAAGGGATAGCCACCTTTAAACAAATAAAATGTAAAAATAAAGAAAATGAACACAAAAGTTTATATGTGAAAACGTCCATGATTCATTAAAATGGCATATGAAGATGAAAAAAATCAAAACCCTTACAAATGGACCTATGTGCCTCGGGTAAGACACAAGGTTAAAAGTGTATGAATTGTTTAGGAATTATTACAGACCAACATAAATGTTTGAAAGATAAATTACTGCGATATGAAAGTAATCGGAACAAAGTCTTTTGCCTCCCAGTTGCACAGTCCCCCGTCAACAGTTGGGAATATCCAGTCTTCTAGGTTTCCTTCCTCTTCATTATCCTCCAAAGCATTGACTCCATGATGGGTGATCTTCATAGGTGGCCCTCCAGCACGGGCGCGGTGTACAGCCTTTTGAGCAGAAGAAGTGAATCCCAAGCCGAATTTATCAGATTTGTAAGGAAAGTCTGGAAGTTCACCCCAAATTGTCCTTCCTCCTTCTTCAATCACAGCCTTTGCATCTTTGAGAGACGAAATCCGAGGTGAAGATCTGGTAATCAAGGGTACTGAAGCCACTGCCTTGGTTGCTGCAATCTCTTGAGCTACCTCTTCAAAATGTTGGAAAGGGGTCTCAGTGAATTCACCATCCAATTCTATATAGCGGAAAGAATTTTGATGGCTTATCATGTATTCCTCTTCGCCATGAACAGTTATAATTTTCCCCTGGACAGGGTACTTGAGCATTTGATGCAGAGTAGAAGTGACGACTCCAGTATTGTGAATCCAGGGTCTTCCCAACAAGCAAGAATAGGAAGGATGGATGTCCATCACATAGAATGTGGAGTTGAAGGTTTCAGTTCCCACCTTGATCGGGATGTCCACCTCTCCGTGAACCATCCTTTTAGAACCATCAAAGGCTCTGACAATTATATTGACGGGCTTCAAGGTTAGACCTTCACAATCCAGTCTATCCAAGGCTTTCTTCGGCAAGACATTCAGCGATGAACCAGTGTCTACCAGAACGTGTGCTAGAGTAGTCCCTCTGCATTCCACCGAGACATGTAAAGCATCGTTATGTTTTCTCCCTTTAGATGTTCCATCAGTGTGATACGGTGGGAGAACTGACTATATTTTTGCGTTTGTTTTCGCAAATGTTTCGTTTGAGCAAAAGTCGCCACCGACTTTTTATTTTATCCTAAGGAAAGGCTTAAAAAGCACAGCAAAAACCTTTGAGATGTTTTCTTGGGTTCGGGGAGTAGATTATAGAAAGGGAAGGTATTAGCACCCTTTCTATCCATGGTTATCCATGGGCTCTTAGTTACTTGCTTAGATCAACTTGCCTTAATTCTCAATTGTTTGAAATGGTGCTTTGTGTGTGTGGGTTTGAAAATGTTTTGAAAAGAGGCCATTTGTTGTGGCAACCTTTGTAATGATCCATGTTGGGATGTATACAAAGGTGTACTTATCTTTTGAAAAGTTTTCAATGTTTTTGAAAGTTGTTTTGAAAGTGTATTGTGATGTGTGTTTTGAAAAGTAGGCAAGAGTGTTTTTGCAAGTTGATTCAAGTAACTAAGAGTTTTGTCTACCCCTAAATTTACTCAAAGGTTTTTCCTATGTTTTAACCCTTTTATCAATTTTGTTCCACCATTGTATTTGGTGGACAATCTTGTGTTAGGATGTGAGAGGGACGGGCGCGGGTCATCGTTTAGACCATAATTGCAATGGTGCCAAGTATCTTTGGGCAATTTTTTCTTTAAGGGACTTGATCATTTTTAGGCAACTTTTGAAAGCGTCATCGAGGGACTATGATCATTTGAATGGTTTGTTTTGCCCAAAGAGACCTAACATGCAATATGGCCCAATTTTGAAAGGC